GGAGATGGCTACACTGCAATCCCTTCTCTTCTCAGAATCTTGGGCACGCATGTGCACATACCTGGCGTGAGTTTAAGCCACCAGATCTGGGACTCAAACCACGGTCGACTACATGGGAGTCCAGTGACGCAGCCATTATGCCAACTGCTGGTCCCATCAAGCTTTTTTTTAGAGAGAAATTTTTTGCTGTAGGGCACATTCACTCACTGGAAAGACAGAGAGACAGAGACAGGAAGTGAGAAATCACACACACACACACACACCCCGCCCCAGGGAGAATGGCCATGTCACAATCCCTTCTCTTTCATTCTCTTGGAATTTTAGGCACACACACACACATAAGCCCAGTGTGAGCTTCAAGCTTCCGGGTTCAGTCCTTGAACTGTGGTCGGCCGCATGGGAGTCCAGCAATGTAACCGCTATGCCATCTGCTGGTCCCTCAATCTTTAAAGAGAAAAAAATGAATTAAAGTGAATTTTTTAAAAAAGAATTATTTAACTTTTATTTATTATTAGTTTAATTTGCCCAGAGAGAGAGAAAGGGAAAATGAGAAAGCAAGCCTGCAGGTCCCGGGTCGAACCATGTCAGTCACGTGAGAGTCCAGCACCTTAACCGCTCCTACGCGTGGCAGCCACAGAAAGGCAAATCTTGGTACAGCTTTTTTTTTTTTTTTCTTTAGAATTATTTATATTTATTTAAATTGTCATTATTACTATTTTTAAAAATCTGACCAAAGAGAGAGTAAGGGAAAATGAGAAAACAAGCCACCAGGTCCAGGATTCCCACCAAGGTCAGCCATGTGGGAGTCTAGTACCTCAACCACTGTGCCACCTGCCAGCCCCAAGTTAACTTTGTTTTGTTTTGTTTTTATTCTAAGTGTTGCTATAACGTGCATGCACTTGCCCAAGAGAGACAGAGAGGGAGAAATAAAGATGGAAAGTGAGATGTCACCTCCCAGAGGGATGGCCATGCTGTAGTCCCTTTCCCTCCGTTCTCGCCTTGAGATTTCGGGCATGCATGCGCTTGAGCCCAGTGTGATTTTCAAGCCACCAGGTCCAGGGGCCCAGCCATGTGAGGTCCAACTGTCTTAAATCCCATACCACCTACTAGCCCAGTTACTGATATTTTACCATAGTCAAATATGTGGGTATTACAAAAAGTTAATGGAGGTACCAGCAGATGGCATAATGGCTATGTCGCTGGACTCCCATGTAGTCGACCACGGTTCAAGTCCTGGACCCGGTGGCTTAAACTCATGCCTGGTGCGTGTGCGTGCGTGCCCAAGATCCCGAGAGGAGAATGGAGGAGAAGGGATTGCGGCGTGGCCATCCTCCCTGCGGGGTGATTTCTCGCTTTCTCTCTGTCTCTCTCTTTCTAGTGAGCGCACGCGCCCATAGCAAAAACCTCTAAAAAAAATGCAAATAAGTTTCAAAAGTCATAACTATATAAAACCGTATTCCTAGAAGCTGCTTCCTGTCTCTGTATCTTGTTGCCACTCACATCCTGTACTTTCTCATTTGATTAGCTCCTAGCTTATCTTTTCCCTTTTTCCCTTTTTTTAAAAAAAATTTATTATGGGAAATGGCAGAGGGTGAGAGGTATGGAATCCAGGGGGAGGGGAGAAACAAAATACGTAAGAAGCCAGAAATGGGAAATTGTTGACGATAACACATATAATAATATCCTTGATTGAGCCGATATACAGTGTATTCTGGATGGAAAATATCTCAATTTGTACACTATAATGATAGACAGTGAATGAATGTAAGTGAATAATTTTTTAAGTATTTTATTTAACATTATTTGTTCATTTATTTTAATTTGACCAGAGAGGGAGAGAGAAGAGGAAGTGAGAAAGCAAGCCGCCAGGTCTGGGACTTGAACAGTGTCAGCCACGTGGGCTTCCAGCCCTCCTAACCACCACGCCACCTGCCGGCCCAATAAATTTGAAGTTAAAAAGAAGAAAGAGAAGGACTTTGCGCGCTCTGTTAATTCAGAGAGAGCTTTCTCGTTCTGTTTTATAGCTCTCCATCCTCCACTCTAGGGACCTACCTTCCTTTTTGTTTTTGAGAGAAATTTAGGGCAGGTGCGCTTGCTGGAGAGACAGTCAGAAAGCGAGAAGTCATCCTCTGGGTGGGTAATCACGCTGCAATCCCATCTCCATTCTCCCCTAGGATTTCGGGCATGGACACGCACGCACGCACATGCTCACACACGCCCAGGGAGAGTTTTAAGCTGCCGGGTCCGGGATTAGACCTGCAGCCAACCACGTGGGAGTCCAGTGATGTAAGCATTACGCCATCTGCTGTCTCTTGCTCATTTCCTCAGTGTTGCAGTTTCCCGGCTTCAGGCAAAACCCATTGGTTTTCCAAAAATAACTAGCTGGTCCCGTCCCCTCCCCTCCTGCTGCACTCCAGCGGGCGGCACCCACTCACCCTGGCCTCCAGCCCATGCGGCTGAGCAGCAGTCTCTGTCACTGTCACCTGCTCATCTCTTCCCTGTTCCCTGCCCTAGATCCAGCTCTTTGCTTGTCAGCAGTTTGACCAGGTACGCTCTTAGTTTGGGGACGAGGCCAAGATTCCAGGTGGAATCACAGGTCCTGCCCGGTCGAGCAGACACAAGGGATATGTAGGGATTTAGCCACTCCCCAGCTGGTCCTCAAGCCTGTCCCAGATGTGCCAGCCTGTCCCCATTGCTCAAGCAGGTCCCTCTCCCTGCCCCCGCTGCCCACCTCACCCGGCCATCCCTAGGACCCTCCCATGGCTCTGCTCTCCAGCAAGTGCTCAGAAGGCCTGTCGGTGAGCCACTCTGCCTGCCCCACGGGGGCCTGCTGTGACCCCTGCATCAGAGCCACATGGCTGTCCGCCATCTCTCCCTGGAGCGTTGGGTGCTGCAGTGGCCTCGCTCAGGCATGGGACAGTATGCGCCTGCCCCAGAGAGCCGACTGTCCCCAGCAGATGTTCGCAGGGAGCAGCCACCACAGGAGGCTCGTTGGAGCGCGGTGACTGTCCCGCACTGTCAGTAACAGCAGCGAGGTGGTGAGATTCCGTGTCCAGCCAGCCGAGACCAGGCGGACTGTGGTATGAAGACCGTCCAGGGCTGCCCCACTCTCCCATGAAATAAATAAACTTTAAGGAGAATATGGAAAGTTGTTTATGGTCTCAACGTTTACAGAGCAAGTTACAGAATAGAGTGTGTGGGGACCAGCAAGTGGCATAACGGTTATGTAGCTGAGCTCCCATGTAGTCGACCATGTCCTCACGCTGGGTGTGTGTGCATACGTTCCCCAAATCCCTAAAGGAGAGTGGAGGAGGGACTGATGTGGCCATCCCCACTTGGGGGTGATTTCTCACTTTCTGTCTCTCCAGCAAGTGCATGCGCCCTATAGCAAAAAAACAAAAACACCTCTCAAAAAAAAGTGTCTGATGGGATCCCAGTATTCTTAAGGATTTGTGTAGGAAAAAAACAAAACAGTAACGGTGTGTAAGTTTTCTTTTCAGACTTTCCTGTTTCTCAAATATTTCACATTGACAGGGCCGGCAGGAGGCATGGTGGTTAAGGCACTGGACTCCCACATGGCTGACTAGGGTTAGAATCCTAGGCCTGGCCGCTTGCTTCCTAACTTTTCCTCTCTGTCTCTGGTCAAATTAAAAAAAATAATAATAATAATAAATTAAATAAGTCTTTAAAAGAATTTCACATTGAGCATTGAGCTGGTATTTATATTGAGCCCATGATATCAGGCTGCAGGAACTTTGGTCTTGGGACTGGCTGCCCACGAGCAGTACGGAGGGACCTCCGTGCTAGGCCAGCAGGGGGAGCAGACCCCCTTCTAGCTGGCTGCACTGCGCGGCATCTGTCTGTCTGCAGCCACAGACCAAGCTCGTCCATCTAAGCGGACCTTGCCTTGAGCGCCTTCGCTGTCTGTCAGGACACTGTAGCCCGAGCGGGAGGCGGGCGTGGCCTTGGGTACATCAGCTCACTCCTGAGCTCACCTCCCACGCTGGGACACTGGGACGGGAGGGGCCTGGTCCTCATCAGGGCGGTGGAGGACTCCACAGAGAGGCTGTTTGTGCAAGGACCTACCTGCCCGCTGTCATTAGCTCATGCCACATAAAGCTACACTTCTCCCTCGTCTTTGGCTTCCTGTGTCACACCTCCTGTCACGCATTGAGGCCTGCTGCATGCCTGCGTGTATGCCAGGCACCAAGCAGCCAGTCAGGAGCAGACTGAGCCCTGGCTGGAGGCTGTCGCAGCCTTGGGGGCTGGGCAGGTGGACAGACAGGCAGCCCAGGCCCAGGCCCAGGCCCAGGGATGAGTGGTGCGGACAGAAGAGCGTTGCACGCAGTGGGTTCCCCTCTCACACAGCAGGAGCTGGGCGAGAGCAGGGGGAAGACCTGTAAGTCCCCATGACTGACCCTTTGGTGTGCTATTAGAAGCCTGTTAGAGAATTCAAAGAAGAAAATTACCCCATTTCATAAGAGTAAATGTGTCAAAGGGAGACTGCCAAAACTTATTTAATTTTATTTGTATTTTTATTTTTTTGCCACAGGGCACGTGCTCTTGGCAGAGAGACCAAGAGAGGGAAAGTGAGAAGTCACCCCCCGGGGGGTTGGCCATGTGGCAGTTCCTTCTCCTCCAGTCTCCTCTCAGGGTTTGGAGCACGCACATACACATGCCCAGAGTGATTTTGAAGCCTCCCGGTCTGGGACTCAAACCATGCTCAGCCATGTGGGCGTCCACTGCCTCCACCAGCCCACCACCTGCTGACCCCAACCAAGGCACAATTTCACAGGAAGCGTGAGTGACACTTTTGCAGGAGCAGCAGTGTTTCCAGAGCCCTAAGGAGAACCCGAGTCAGTGAACCTCATCCCTCCACGCATCCCACCTGGCCCTTCCGGGCCCAGCTACGCCGGTCCAGGCTGTGGTTCGGCTCGACGCCAGCAGGAGAGCTGCCCGAGGCTGCCCGAGGGCTCAGCGCCTTCTCCTTTTGCTTTCAGAAGTGACCGGGGAGGCACGTCTCTACCATGGGAAGGAAGCTGTGGATCCGCGGCAGGGACGGGCCCGAGGAGGCGACCCCACGCACTTCCACACGGTGAACATGGCGCAGCCCGTCCGCTTCAGCAGTAAGTTGCAGACCTGCTCCGACCCTGACACTTGGGAGCCGTGGTCCCCCGAGGGTGCCGTCTGGCTGGGTCCAGGCTGCCCCAGGGCCACTCTGCTGCAGGACGAGGTCGTCTCCTGAAACGGCCCGTGTCGGGGTGGGAGGCCAGGGGTGTGGCCACCTGCTCCAGACCACCAGCTCCCGAGTGGTGAAGCGTGGCTCGAACCCTGGCTTCGGAGTCAGCCTGCTCGTCCCCGCGAGACGACTGCCTTCCAGGGCTGTCAGCACTGCAGTGCCTCTGGGAATCCCGTGGTCCTCTCGTTTCCTGTTAGACATGGAGACACTGCGTCCGAGAGGTCAGGTGCAGCCGACCTGTGAGTTTGTTCAGCTCTGGATTCGTGAAGTTCTCAATGAGTTACCTCTGACGTTCATTCTGAGCTTAGGGCGGGAGAAGCCTGAGCAGGCGTGTCAGGACGCACTGGGGAGACAGTGTGGCAGCTGTGGGGACAGGGAGAGCCGACCCTCACTGTGGCTGCTGTGGTGCTTAAGGACCCGTTTGCCATGTCAGTGACCGGCCCGGAGACAGGGCACTGCGCTCCTCCCAGCGTCCGTTACTGCGCCTGCAGCGTCCACACTGCCCACGCCTGCAGCGGTGCTGACTGCTGGCAGCCCCAGCTGGGTACTCAGACTGCAGCGGGCCCTGCCTGGACTGTGAGCGGGGAAGGGCCTGGGAAGTCACCTGCCCGCGAGGCCCCGCTCCCCCTGGACCCTGATGGAACCTCCTTTCTTGTCTGCTGAGGAAGTGAGCAGTGGTGTGGGCCGTCTGTCCTCTGAGCCCTGATGCTGCCTTGCCCCACAGCAGCTGTGACTCCCAGGAGTTCTCGCAGTGGGAGGGTGTCACAGGTCATACAGCTGGGAGGGGCAGCCCTGGGAGGTGGCCCCCTGGGTCCTGACACCGCCCAGCTCCACTGTGAGCAGGGACCGCGTCCACCTAGGCGATAATTCCACAGAGCGAAACACAGCAGCAATGCGGCAGTGACGAGGAATCCTTCCTGAGCCAGCCGGCTCCCCTCGCGGGTTTCCCGTGGGCGGTTCTGAGATGAGAAGGCGCCCGCCGCTGCTGCTGCTCCGTGTTTGTCTCTGAGCCAGACAGGACCACCTGCCGGGAGCGGGGCTGGGACGTGCCCACCTGGGCGGGCAGGTGTGGTTCACTGGCACCTTTCTGTTGAGAGCTGGGTCCTTGCCTAGAGGGCTGTCCTGCCCTCGGTCTTACCAGGCCCTCGGGGACAGCTGCCGCGGGACAGGCCGGAGCCGCCCTTCTTTCCCTGTGTCCTGCGCCTTTGTTGGGAAGTCTCACGCGCACACGCGCCAACAGACGCGGGCAGCGTACGTCTCTGGGGGATTTCGCTCATTCTGTAGGGCGTAGGTGCATTCCCAATTTTCATTTCCCCTCCCCCCCACAACTGGCGTCCCTAAAGTCTGGGAGTCCTCTCCGGTGTACCGAGAGGAGGTACCCCAACATCCCAGGGTCATAGACTCCACAGCACAGGGTCGATGTGACCTGAGTGAGCCGAACGGGGCCAGGCCTTCCCGTGCCCAGGGCTGGGTTGACAGAGTGCCCTGTGAGAAGACTGGCCAGTCTTGGGGAGACTCCTGCCCCAGCTGGCTCCCCAGCCTTGTCAGGCACCTTCTTATTTGTGGGAGTCCTCAGAGCCTCCCCACTCTGATCTGCCAGGCTGCCGTTTTAGGGGAGCACTGTCTAGCACACTCCTGCAAATGTCTGTGGGAACAGAAAAGGAGGGCGAGGAACCCGCTCAGAAAGTGGTGGGCTGGCAGGAGAGGCCAGGAGAGCCAGCGTCAGGGAAGTGTGGACCGGGCAGGGGTGTCCCCACTCACCCCACCAGGGCTGGTCAGGGGTATTCCCGCTCACCCCACCAGGGCCAGGCTGGGGGTGTCCCCGCTCACCCCACCAGGGCCAGGCAGGGGGTGTCCCCGCTCACCCCACCAGGGCCAGGCAGGGGGTGTCCCCGCTCACCCCACCAGGGCCAGGCAGGGGGTGTCCCCGCTCACCCCACCAGGGCCAGGCAGGGGGTGTCCCCGCTCACCCCACCAGGGCCAGGCAGGGGGTGTCCCCGCTCACCCCACCAGGGCCAGGCAGGGGGTGTCCCCGCTCACCCCACCAGGGCCAGGCAGGGGGTGTCCCCGCTCACCCCACCAGGGCCAGGCAGGGGGTGTCCCCGCTCACCCCACCAGGGCCAGGCAGGGGGTGTCCCCGCTCACCCCACCAGGGCCAGGCAGGGGGTGTCCCCGCTCACCCCACCAGGGCCAGGCAGGGGGTGTCCCCGCTCACCCCACCAGGGCCAGGCAGGGGGTGTCCCCGCTCACCCCACCAGGGCCAGGCAGGGGGTGTCCCCGCTCACCCCACCAGGGCCAGGCAGGGGGTGTCCCCGCTCACCCCACCAGGGCCAGGCAGGGGGTGTCCCCGCTCACCCCACCAGGGCCAGGCAGGGGGTGTCCCCGCTCACCCCACCAGGGCCAGGCAGGGGGTGTCCCCGCTCACCCCACCAGGGCCAGGCAGGGGGTGTCCCCGCTCACCCCACCAGGGCCAGGCAGGGGGTGTCCCCGCTCACCCCACCAGGGCCAGGCAGGGGGTGTCCCCGCTCACCCCACCAGGGCCAGGCAGGGGGTGTCCCCGCTCACCCCACCAGGGCCAGGCAGGGGGTGTCCCCGCTCACCCCACCAGGGCCAGGCAGGGGGTGTCCCCGCTCACCCCACCAGGGCCAGGCAGGGGGTGTCCCCGCTCACCCCACCAGGGCCAGGCAGGGGGTGTCCCCGCTCACCCCACCAGGGCCAGGCAGGGGGTGTCCCCGCTCACCCCACCAGGGCCAGGCAGGGGGTGTCCCCGCTCACCCCACCAGGGCCAGGCAGGGGGTGTCCCCGCTCACCCCACCAGGGCCAGGCAGGGGGTGTCCCCGCTCACCCCACCAGGGCCAGGCAGGGGGTGTCCCCGCTCACCCCACCAGGGCCAGGCAGGGGGTGTCCCCGCTCACCCCACCAGGGCCAGGCAGGGGGTGTCCCCGCTCACCCCACCAGGGCCAGGCAGGGGGTGTCCCCGCTCACCCCACCAGGGCCAGGCAGGGGGTGTCCCCGCTCACCCCACCAGGGCCAGGCAGGGGGTGTCCCCGCTCACCCCACCAGGGCCAGGCAGGGGGTGTCCCCGCTCACCCCACCAGGGCCAGGCAGGGGGTGTCCCCGCTCACCCCACCAGGGCCAGGCAGGGGGTGTCCCCGCTCACCCCACCAGGGCCAGGCAGGGGGTGTCCCCGCTCACCCCACCAGGGCCAGGCAGGGGGTGTCCCCGCTCACCCCACCAGGGCCAGGCAGGGGGTGTCCCCGCTCACCCCACCAGGGCCAGGCAGGGGGTGTCCCCGCTCACCCCACCAGGGCCAGGCAGGGGGTGTCCCCGCTCACCCCACCAGGGCCAGGCAGGGGGTGTCCCCGCTCACCCCACCAGGGCCAGGCAGGGGGTGTCCCCGCTCACCCCACCAGGGCCAGGCAGGGGGTGTCCCCGCTCACCCCACCAGGGCCAGGCAGGGGGTGTCCCCGCTCACCCCACCAGGGCCAGGCAGGGGGTGTCCCCGCTCACCCCACCAGGGCCAGGCAGGGGGTGTCCCCGCTCACCCCACCAGGGCCAGGCAGGGGGTGTCCCCGCTCACCCCACCAGGGCCAGGCAGGGGGTGTCCCCGCTCACCCCACCAGGGCCAGGCAGGGGGTGTCCCCGCTCACCCCACCAGGGCCAGGCAGGGGGTGTCCCCGCTCACCCCACCAGGGCCAGGCAGGGGGTGTCCCCGCTCACCCCACCAGGGCCAGGCAGGGGGTGTCCCCGCTCACCCCACCAGGGCCAGGCAGGGGGTGTCCCCGCTCACCCCACCAGGGCCAGGCAGGGGGTGTCCCCGCTCACCCCACCAGGGCCAGGCAGGGGGTGTCCCCGCTCACCCCACCAGGGCCAGGCAGGGGGTGTCCCCGCTCACCCCACCAGGGCCAGGCAGGGGGTGTCCCCGCTCACCCCACCAGGGCCAGGCAGGGGGTGTCCCCGCTCACCCCACCAGGGCCAGGCAGGGGGTGTCCCCGCTCACCCCACCAGGGCCAGGCAGGGGGTGTCCCCGCTCACCCCACCAGGGCCAGGCAGGGGGTGTCCCCGCTCACCCCACCAGGGCCAGGCAGGGGGTGTCCCCGCTCACCCCACCAGGGCCAGGCAGGGGGTGTCCCCGCTCACCCCACCAGGGCCAGGCAGGGGGTGTCCCCGCTCACCCCACCAGGGCCAGGCAGGGGGTGTCCCCGCTCACCCCACCAGGGCCAGGCAGGGGGTGTCCCCGCTCACCCCACCAGGGCCAGGCAGGGGGTGTCCCCGCTCACCCCACCAGGGCCAGGCAGGGGGTGTCCCCGCTCACCCCACCAGGGCCAGGCAGGGGGTGTCCCCGCTCACCCCACCAGGGCCAGGCAGGGGGTGTCCCCGCTCACCCCACCAGGGCCAGGCAGGGGGTGTCCCCGCTCACCCCACCAGGGCCGGGCAGGGGTCTGCATGCCGAGCGGTGCGTCTCGTCGGTCAGGCTCAGTCAGACTGAAAGCCGTTCATGGAACTGAATTCGGCAGTCACTCCGTTTTGTTTCTTCTTAGTCTTTTTCTATGGGCGTGCACACGAGAGAGGGAGAGAGAAACCACCACCCCCAGGGGGATGGCTGCACAGCAGTCTCTACTCCTCTTGGGATTTTGGGTCCCCACACATGTACCCAGTGTGATTTTCAGGCCAGCAGGTGCGGGACTTGAACCACGCAGCCTCCCAAGTAGGATCCAGCATCTTAGCCTCCATGCCACCTGCTAGTCTAGCTGTCTTTTTTACACCGAGTAAATTAATAGACCATATAGAAGTGGGAGGAGCCACTGAGCATATTTGTGTCTTATATCGAACCTGCATTTTCAAGAGACGGGCCTTTCCGCAAAGGTGTGACTTAGCAGTGGAGTTTTCCCCTCGAGCCTCAGTTTCCCCACTTCTCGGGCATCTCTGAGGAGTGCCTGTCTCATGCAGCGTGCAGGATTTGGCTTCTGGAGTCGGGATCCTAATTTGGGGGACGACGCCCCTTCTGTCCTTCATGTTTCCTAGGGAAGTGCCCGACAGGGTGGCACCACTATGAGGGCACGGCCAGCTGCTACCGCGTCTACCTGAGCGGGGAGAACTACTGGGACGCCGCGCAGACCTGCCAGCGCGTGAACGGCTCGCTGGCCACCTTCTCCACCGACCAGGAGCTGCGCTTCGTCCTGGCCCAGGAGTGGGACCAGCCCGAGCGCAGCTTTGGTTGGAAGGACCAGCGCAAGTGAGTCCTGGGCTGGGGCCTGCAGGGCCTGGGGGCAGGGTCCAGTGACCGCTGAGCCGTGGCCTCTGACCAGCCGACAGCACGTGGGGCATACCCAGCAGCCAGTGGGCGAGGAAACAGACCTGGGGCTTCGAGTGCGCCTCGAGGTGGGGCAGGGGCATGCAGAGGGGACGGGGACAGGGGACAGGCTCTGCCACCACCCCGTGGGACCTTGGGTCCCTTTCTGTGGCTGTGGATGCTGTTGCTAAGCTTGGGCAGGGGTGCCAGCCTGTGCCAGCAGGGGCCACTCGGTAGGGCTCTGTGGGTCTGTTGTGAGGGGTGTTTGGTGTGGGGGTTCCCTCTGAGAGCGAGCCCTGTCGGCCTGATACCCAGCGCTCCCAGAAGAAACCTCAGGGCCTGGTGGACGTGGGCTCTGGCACACCCAGGACTGGAACTCAGGCTCTGCCCATCGTGGGGAGGTGTGAGAATAGCAGCCACTGCTGCGTCTGCCCAACCAGCACTGGGGCTTTGTCCTGGGCAGGCAGTGCCACCTCTGGAGGTCACTCAGGCTGTGCTGTCCACACCTTGGGGGACAGGTGGCCACCAGTTACTGGCCCCTTTTCCGAAGGAGAGCCCAGCTCTGAGGGAGCGGGGAGTGAGCTGCAGGGCTGAGGCATCCCCACGCCGCACGGGCTGCCGGCCCCCGTCGGAGCACCACGACCTGCACCCCAGGACCCTCCAAAGCTGGGTTGGGCCCTAATTATTGCACCTCGTGTGGTGGTAGCAAATCACGAGACCCTGCTGTTCTGCTGCAGCTACAAAGTGAGGAAAGTGACTGTTCACTCAGCGGTTGTTGTACCGACCCACAAGGAAACGCCTGCGAGTCCGGTAGAGAAGCGAGCGGGAGGGTGCCTGTGCGTGGTGTGGGCTGAGGGGCTACGCTCCCTTGCAGCAGGTGGGCCTGCAGACCGGCCTCTCCAGGGTCAGCGCTGGGAGGCCAGGGTAAGGGACACGGGCTCAGCAGATGCGTGTGGCAGGCAGCCAGGTCCGTGTGTCGGGACCTGCAGTGTGGGCCAGTGTGCTCAGGAGCTGCGGGCCCGGGTGGGCAGGTGCTCAGTGAGAAGCCAGGCACATACTTTTAAAAAATTCATGGAAGGGACCAGCAGTTGGCGTAATGGCTATGTAGCTGGACTCCCATGTGGTTGACTGCAGTTCGAGTCCTGGATCCGGTGGCTTAAACTCACGCCGGGCGTGTGTGTGTGTGTGTGTGTGTGTGTGTGTATGTATGTATGTGTGTGTGCGTGCGTGCCCAAGATCCCGAGAGGAGAATGGAGGAGAAGGGATTGCGGTGCGACCATCTTCCCCGGGGGGGTGATTTCTCGCTTTCTATCTGTCTCTCTGTCTTTCTGGCGAGCGCACGCGCCCTATAGCAAAAACCTCTCCCCCCAAAAGCAATTTTCATGGAAAATGGAATTCAAGAATGAGTCTATTTTGTGCAAGATTGAAATCCATGCATAGTTTTCCAAGACCCCACATCTATCGCAGGATCTGTTTCTTAGCTGAGGCGCAGTCACGTACTGTAAATTCACCCATGAGGTGCGTACACCTCTGTGGCTTAAGCGTTTTCACAGGGTTGTATCATGAGGCCTTCTGCCCACCAAGGCCCAGGCTGGTCTTGCTCACAGCGTGGAAGATCTGATACAGAGAGCCCAAAGCCTGGGCCGCGGACCAGTACTGGTGCCCGGTCTGTGGGGACTCGGGTGCACAGCAGGGAGTGAGCCGTAGGTGGGTGGGCCAGCACAGCTCCATCTGCCTTTACAGCCGCTCCCCATCACTGGCCGCCCGGGCCCCGCCCCGTCAGGTGGGCTGTACCTTAGGCTCTCACACGGGCGTGAACCCTACTGTGAACAGCGCATGCGGGGAGCTGGGTCACACACCCTCAGGAACTCCCCCTCCCACCCCCGTCAGTGGAAAACTTGTCTTCCATGAAACCAAACCCTGTTGCCCGCAAGGTCAGGGACTAACACAGGCTGTTGGACAGGGGTTACCTGAGGTGAGACTTCTGACCTGTGGATTGGTGGTTTCACATCCGAATGCATTGTGTTTTATTATTTTTTTTAAAGAATTACTTTATTTAACTTATTTAATTTTAACCAGAGAGGGACAGAGTGAGGGGTGGGTGGAGAATGAGAAGGCAAGCCGCCAGGTCTGGGACTCGAACCACAGTAGGCCATGTGGGAGTCCAGTCCCTTAGCCATGCCACCTGCTGGCCCCATATATTTTAAAGATTTTTGCCTTCGGGCATGTGCTCTCTCTAAAGAAGGAGAGAAAGAGCGAGAAACCATCCCCCAGAAGATGACCACGCCACAGTCTCTTCTCCATTCTCCTCTCGGGATCTTGGGCATGCACGCACATGTACCCTGCATGAGTTTCAAGCTGCCAAGTTCAGGCCTCAAACCACGGTCAGTCACGTAGTTCAGCGCCTTAGCCAGCACACCACCTGCTGGCCATGTTAATACATTTTATTAAAGGTGAATGTTAAAACTCACTGGTGTTTTAGAAGGTAGTCTGTGGAAGGTCGGTATAACTGTTGCACACACATACGGCGCCCCCCCCCCCCCTGCCACTAAGGCCTGTCTCTGCCTGCAGGCTGTGGGTCGGCTACCAGTACGTCATCACTGGCCGGAACCGCTCCCTGGAAGGTCGCTGGGAGGTGGCGTTCAAAGGTAAGCCTTCCGGGTGTGTCGGGAGTGTTGCTCGGTCTGAAACTGGGGAATCCTAACTCAGGATTGCTGGGGAGTGTCCTTACCCGGTGTTCCTGGCCTGCAAGGGCACCCGCTGTAGGGACGTGGAGAGGAGGGGGCTTCAGATTGTCAGGGGCGCCCGGGGCCAGTGTGCAGCCCCCTGGTCAGGCTCCTCCTGGGGGCCTGGGGCCTTCCAAGGAGCTAGGACCTTGCATCATAAGAATGAGCCTACGAGGTGTCCTGTGACCCAGGCCAGAGAGGGACAGAATGAGTTCTCTGGGACAGAGAAGGTCAGAGCCGGAATCCAGAACTTGATGGAAGCTGCAGGCAGAAGCAGTTAAAATAGGTGTTTATGGGCCAGCCTGCGGCCTGGTGGTTAAGGTGGTGGCTCCCACATGGCCGATCATGTGTGTAAGTCCCAGACCCAGCACTTGGAAACACCTGGGCATGTATGTATGTGTGCCCAAAATCCCAAGAGGAGGGAGAAAAGGAGAAGGGATTGTAGTGTGACCATACCTCATGGGGGTGTCTTCTCATTTCCCTCTGTCTGTCTTCTGTGCACATATGTGTTATTTCAAAGGTTTTATACCGAGTTGCTTGGAAATACCAAGGACTTAGAGTGGGCCTACCGTGTGGTTTCTGTAGGTGTGGCATTAATACCGTGGTTGTGTGATCTTAGGAGACGTGTGCTTGTTCAGGAGAGGGGCCTCCATGGTGGGAGGGGGCGAGCTGGACGGATGGATGCCGTCAGTGCTGAGGCCACGCGGGGATACTTTTCTCTCTACCTTTGTGAAGTTTTAAAGTTTCTTTCTTTCCTGAGAGATAGGCATGGAGAGAGAGGAAGCCTTCCCAGGCCAGCAGGACCGTGGGTGACCATGTGCACCCAGTCTGCAAGGTCGGCCTGGGGACTGGAGCCCGTCCTCCCATGCCCTCGAGCATTACAGAGCTGAGCACACCCACTGCACCTTGGTGGCCTTTTTTTTTTCTTTTTTTTTTTTTTAACATATATTCTATTTTTGATTTGCCAGAAAGTATCGGCCCTCGCTAGAAAGAGAGACGGAGAAGGAGAAAGAGGGAAGCGAGAAAGTACCTCCCCCTGGGGCGTGGTCACATGGCAAGCCCGTCTGCATTTCTCCCTCCTTTCAGGACTTTGGGCACGTACACACAGGTGCCTGGCGTGCTTTTCCAAGCTACTGACTAGGTCCAGGACTCGAGCCGCATGGTTGCCATGTAGGATCCAGATCCCTTAACTACTAGGCTCTGGGCTGACCCCATATTTTAAACATTTTTTCCAACTAAATGACGGGTCCTATATTGTGTCAGATGCCACATGACTGACTGCAGTTGAAACCCTGGCCCCGCAGTTTGAAAAAAATCACTGGGTGCAACAGAGGAAAAGGATTGCAGTCTGGCCAGCCCCACTGAGAGGCCCTTTCTCTCCCTTTCTGTGGCAAGAGCGCACACCCTCGGGCAATTAAAAAAAAAAAACATTAAAACATTTTTTTCACTGCTGCCATTTAAAAAGGTTTCTGCTAAGAAACTGCGGAGTGGAGTGAATGCAGAGCACAGAAGCAAGCCAGTGCAGGCCCAGCTGGCCCCTCTGGTCTCAGAAGGCGTTCTCTCCCAGTTGTAGCCCGAGGCAAAATGAGTGAGCTGGCCCAAGGGGGAAGTTCCGAAAAGACGATGGGAAGTGGATTTTTAAAAAAATAATAATTATTTAAGAGTCTCGAGCTCTAGCTGGCCACCGAGTGTACACGCTCCGGGATCTTCAGTGCTCATGACTGCTTTCTGATTTCTCGCTTTCTATCTCTCTGTCTCTCTCTCTCTTTCTGGCGAGTGCACGTGCCCTATAGCAAAAACCTCCCCCCCCCAAAAAAAAAAAAAGAGATGCAAGAATACTTTTGGCCAAAAATCTCCCCTACAAAGTCACTCAGGATGAATTAAAAGAAGTTCCTCCAGACTCATCTGCGCCACCCGCCTGCCATCATAAGCTGCCATCATGGTGAAGCTCGCTGAGGCTGGTAAAAATCAAGGTGACCCTCCCAAAGGGCTCCTCCTCCAGAGGAGGTAGAAGACTGTGAAGATGAGGAAGTGTCAGAAGATGAAGATGATGGCATTGGAGAAGAGGTTGTCACCCTCAGAACAAAGGTAAGCAGGCTGCCACAGCTCCAGCAAAGGTAGTAGTTTCTCCAGCAAAAAAGCTTGCAGTTGCCAACCTGCCAAGAACGCAGCGGTCACCCCAGGCAAAAAGGCAGCTGCTGTACCGTCCAGGAAGACCGTCACACCAGCCAGAGCCGTCACAGCGCCTGGCAAGAAGGGAGCCACGCCGGGCAAAGCGCTGGTAGCAACTCCTGGTAAGGAA